ATTTATGGAAAGAATGTGTGCTAAATGGAACTAAATTTGGTAAAATTTGGATTTGGGTGAATTTTTAGAGCTCGAATCGTTAAATCGTTCTACGAAAATAAAATATGTTAATACATGTTTAACGAAGTAGTGGGCATATTCTAGTAGTTTAATAAAACCTGGGTTAAGTCCAAAAATGGCCAACTCCTGGCACCTATCCAAAATGTTTCAACATTTTGAAAATTTCTTCATCCAATATCAAGTGAATGGAATATCCATGATGCCACTGTACACATCGTAATTTTTCTTTCAAACTCAAATCATGTTCGAAGATGGATAAAATCGGTTCACAACTTCTGGTACATCAAACACAAAATGTTGAAAATATATCTCAAATTTGTTGGGGAAGCTTCATCATAGCGGCGACTTTCTTCTTCTGATTGTTCCCGCTTCTGTCCACAGACTTCCTTTTTTAGGCAAACTATCTCCTCAACTCCTTCGCCATACTTATTGGCACCAAAATCTTCCTTCGGTTTCTTTGTTTGTAGTCTTTAATCGGTCACGTCATCTAACGTTAGCCGCTTATTACAAGTGTCTACTTTTCTAGGATATTTGACAATGCGTCCAAAAACAAAAGTAGTCCCATTTTTAAATAACAGTTTATTCTAAATCAAGTAAAAAAGCTGTCCCCAAAAACGTTGGGCGCCATTTATGTGTGGAATTAAAAAACAAGGATTATTATTACCCACATCATTTACACACAAAGCTAATTAGGTTGCCACGTAACCAACTGTGTATCATTGGACCTCTGTAGTAAAATTAATAAATTGAGGTTCAAACGCTTAAACATTGGGCGCGAGTTGGTTCTGGAACTCGCAAGTTTATAACATTGAGCGGTAGTTTGTGTCTGGACCTCAAAAAAAAAACATCCCAAACCACTAGGTTAGACTTTACATCTAGCAACCTTGACGTTATAAAGCTACATCTTAGTCATCTTGGAAACGTTGGGCGCCAATCTAATGGAAAAAATCCAATTTTTGCTTTCAATGGCACAAATGGATAAAACACATATATACATACATATATACAATATACCCTTATATACAAACAACATACAGGCAAATATATTTTTTTATTTGTGTAAAATAAAAATTAAATACAAATATTTAAAGCTTATAAAAAACAAACAAAAAATAAATATATAAATCAAAATGCTGTGCTTTTAAACGTTGTCTCACTGCCTATCTGTCAGTCTCTGTGTGTCTCTCTCTCTCTCTATCAGCCTGCTAAGTGTATTTCTATTATTGATGGTATTTTTTATTATTTTGTCGGTGTGTCGGCATGAATGAATGTGGTTTATTAGCTAATCTAAGTAATTAACGATATTGGTATATAATGGAGACAAAAGAGAGCAGAATTCTTTGAGACATAATCAACAAAAATATTGAAATATAATATATAAAAAATAACATAAAAAAAATATTGTGGAAAATTTCAAATATTTTGATAAATAAACTTAATAGAAAAATAATTAAAATAAATTGTAATTTAAGAAGATATTTTTTAGCTACATACTACATATATAACACAGACATTTCACAGACATTTTAGCTCTAATTTTTAAGTAATGCTATGCAAAAAAAAAACTAAATTACAACAACAACAAAAACAAATGTAAAATGCTAAAAACAAATGAAACAACCGAAACCGCAAAATAACGTAATTAACATGTCTCCGTACCATTTTTTCTTCTTGATTTTTAATTTTTTAATTTTACTTCTTTAAAACTCAAGTGCAATATATTATTATATATGAAAAATAATTAAAAAAAATAAATAAAATAAAATTAAAAAACAAATACAACAAAAACAAAATACTTATATCAATAAATAGTCAAAATGATTTATATCCTTTGAAGAATATTTGTTTTCGTGGTGTTTTATTTCGCACGGGAATGGAAAAAGAATTGTCCTCTATAAGAAAACCTAATGGTCTTCTATTATAGAAGACCTAATGTTCTTCTATAAGAATATCTAATGGTTTTCTATAAGAAGAACTACTGGTCTTCTATAAGAGGACCTAATGGTCTTCTATAGGAAGACATGATGGTCTTCTATAAGAAGACCTAATGGTCTTCTATAAGAAGACCTTTTGGTCTTCTATAAGAAGACCTTTTGGTCTTCTATAAGAAGACCTAATGGTCTTCTATAAGAAGACCTAATGGTCTTCTATAAGAAGACCTAATGGTCTTCTAGAAGAAGACCTAATGGTCTTCTAGAAGAAGACCTAATGGTCTTCTATAAGAAGACCTAATGGTCTTCTATAAGAAGACCTAATGGTCTTCTATAAGAAGACCTAATGGTCTTCTATAAGAAGACCTAATGGTCTTCTATAAGAAGACCTAATTGTCTTCTATAAGAAGACCTAATTGTCTTCTGTAAGAACACCTAATGGTCTTCTAGAAGAAGACCTAATGGTCTTCTAGAAGAAGACCTAATGGTCTTCTAGAAGAAGACCTAATGGTCTTCTAGAAGAAGACCTAATGGTCTTCTAGAAGAAGACCTAATGGTCTTCTAGAAGAAGACCTAATGGTCTTCTAGAAGAAGACCTAATGGTCTTCTAGAAGAAGACCTAATGGTCTTCTAGAAGAAGACCTAATGGTCTTCTTCTAGAAGAAGACCTAATGGTCTTCTTCTAGAAGAAGACCTAATGGTCTTCTATAAGACCTAATGGTCTTCTAGAAGACCTAATGGTCTTCTATAAGAAGACCTAATGGTCTTCTATAAGAAGACCTAATGGTCTTCTATAAGAAGACCTAATGGTCTTCTATAAGAAGACCTAATGGTCTTCTATAAGAAGACCTAATGGTCTTCTATAAGAAGACCTCGTGGTCTTCTATAAGAAGACCTCGTGGTCTTCTATAAGAAGACCTCGTGGTCTTCTATAAGAAGACCTCGTGGTCTTCTATAAGAAGACCTCGTGGTCTTCTATAAGAAGACCTATTGGTCTTCTATAAGAAGACCTATTGGTCTTCTATAAGAAGACCTATTGGTCTTCTATTAGAAGACCTAATGGTCTTCTATAAGAAGACCTAATGGTCTTCTTTTAGAAGACCTAATGGTCTTCTATAAGAAGACCTAATGGCCTTCTATAAGAACACCTAATGGTCTTCTATAAGAAGACCTAATGTTCTTCTATAAGAAAACCTAGTGGTCTTCTATAAGACGACCTAATGTTCTTCTATTCTTCTTCTCTTTTATAACGTTGGACCTCTCTCTACAGCATTCATTTTATCCGCCACATAATGCTTAGGATGATTGTCCCTGAAGCACACAAGCATATTGCTATCCTGACATAAGAGAAGGATTTTCGTCTCCTGATGCAGTTCTCAGCTTGGCGTTCTCACAGGTCTGAACAATTCTCCATTGCGTGACACTAGTATTCGCAGACCACACTGATACCGCCACACGCCGGCCAATCGCTTTGTAAGAGGTCAAATGAACGGTTCAAAACTATTAATCGACGAAATATACACATTAAGTACCTCTACCTCGGCAGTACCACATTTGACTGCTACCCCTACACTTAGCGCTGCCTTGTATTCCTACGGCATGATTGACGATATCAAAAACTTTTGATAAATCAAGCGCTACCAATACTTTCCTATTATGTGTGTGGAGATGGCCCATGTTAATGATTTGCAACCATGGAATCTGCTGGGTTAGGTCAACGGAATTTACCATGCTCATTTGCTAGACCAACATTCCCTGCTGAGAGACTAGGTCACGTCAGTTCCGATGTTCCAAACAACTATTCTGCTTATGGTCCGTAACTAAACTGTGTGTTCCCTGACCCTGGGATCTGCTGGGTTGAATTGACAGAGCTTCGACTCCTAAACTTCACAATTTCACTGTACTTGTTGGGGAGACCAAGCAAGAACGATTCATCATTCACCTACGAAAAATCCTCAGACACGTTGGGAGACGTGATATTGGGGCATGAAGCGATGTAAATCCTTTCGCAGTACTCCTGTATCCGGGTCCAGAGCAACCACGAAAATTCTCTCATTCTCTACATCCATTGCATCTCACCGAAATTGATCTATGATGGATGCGGTTTTGACAAATACTACAGAACCAATGTCCGGGGTTTCTTTCTATCCCGGCAGGCATTTCGGGACAAAATGCCACAGCCAGAAAAAAAAATAACAGACACGTACATGTATTTGTTGAAGTAGCAGCCTCTGGTCGGAGTCATTCTCCAAATCAAACCGATACACACAACCAACCGCTGTGGGATTGTAGTCAGTAGGTCATTTTGCAGAAGATTGGAGGGTAGTAGGACTTCACCAACACAATGTAGTAATAGGTCTTCTTATAGAGGGCTATTAGGTCATGTTAAAAAAAGGTCTGTTGGTCTTTAATTTTTGGTTTTCTATTGGACCTGGTGCTATTATAATACTTTATTGTCCTTATATACAAATGATAATTTTTTTATCTCTTTAAAAACTGGAGGCATTTCCTCCTCCAGCTAGTCCACTTTCTATTAGAATAGAAGGTATAAGACCATAAACCATATGTACGATATAAACGAGATTTTCTTATATTTTCCGTTTAGTTCGATAATAAAACACGTGGCAAGTTAAGCAAAAGCTTAACACAGCGCCATTTTGTACTTTTTTTAAGCCCGTAGGTGTGATTAACTCTTTAAATGCGCCTTTCTTGTGAGCCGCGCGAAGACTAACTGATGATAATTTTTTGGCCTTCTATAAGTAGATATATTGGTCCTCAATAAGGGGTACAACACACCTTCTGGACCTTCTTCCATAAGGAAAATCTTCTGATAATTTTAAGTTATTTCGTTATGATTTGAAGACCTTCCTATATATTTTAAAATTTTGTTAGTTCGATATTTCCTTAAACTTTTTTTAATTGTCTTAATTTATTTAACATTTTAAAGTGATATTAAATATCACATACACTTTTCTTTAACACTTAACACATACACATTTACAAGGCATATTACTTTGTTTTCTTTCTAATTTCATTTTCATGGGCAATTTCTTGGCGCTCCCATTCGGGTATGGGTTTTTCTTTGACATGCCATCCCTCTGTCTTGTTTTGCAAAGGATCAACTGTAATATATAAAACAAATTTATTAAAATAAATTATTTTATTTTCAATATATGTCGTACATACCCTTCTTAAAACGTTGCACCCCCTCTTTCAGTTCGGTCAGCACCTCTTTCGAGGTGCTCATAATTTCCGTTTGCATGGCTGCTCGAAAACCTTGCCGACTATAGGCATTCGTATACAAACAACTACGATCACGTATTAACGAAGCCGGGGGGAATTTCACAATGGAAAATGCCAAATTGACAGCTTGACCCAATGCTGTACCGGTGGCAACTAAACGATTTGCTAAACCAATATTTAAAGCCTCACGGCCATCAATACGACGACCACTTTCTAATAACTCTAAAGCACGGGAATAACCAACAATGGCTGCCAAACGGGCTGTACCACCATCACTTACGGGAACACCAAAACGACGATTGAAAAATCCCAAAATCGCGGTGTCTTCCATTACCCTCAGATCACACATTAAAGCCAATTCTAAACCACTGGCCACACAAAAACCATTAATGCCACAGACAATAGGTTTCTTTGGATGGCGTCTTGTTGGACCGACAGAGCCTTCATGACGCAGCAGGAAATCTAAACTTCCCTTTTCACATTGAGACTCCAACTCTTGTATGTCATAACCGGCACAAAAGGTGCCACCCACCCCATAGAGTACGGCTATGGGTGAGGTGTCATCAGCCTCAAATGCTGCCAAGGCATTGGATAGCCTTTCAGCTGTTTGGGCATTTATGGAATTACGTTGCTTTGGACGATTTATACCGATGAGGGTAATTGACTCATCCTTATCCACTAATATCGTATCTTCTTCATTTTCAGGCACTGTGGAGAAAAAAGAGAAAGTTGCATGTTTATATAAGATGTGCATAGTTTTCGAAATATATTCCCAACATACCTTTATCCGATCTTGCTGCTGTAGTTGTTGATAAATCTCTTACTGGATTTATTTCTTGTATTTTTCTAATAAACGAAATAAGGCTTTTGACACAACTCCGACATGGATTCATTTTTTGTATGTAAACAAATATCAGATGTTTTTTATTAACACATACCAACACACAAACATGATTTGAAGAGTTAAATATTTCAGGGTTGCCATAGCTTTGTGATTGGAATTAATTCAAAATAATTTTAGTTTCATACGACGGAAATTTTCAGATGTAACATTTCGTCAAATAAAGGGTACCCCAAGTAAAATGCAATTTTGTCATCATTCGAAACGCTCGATGAAAATTTCATTAAAAGATCGCCATATTCGCTTTATACATAACCTCACTCTGTCTACTGATATAGGTTAGGGGATGTGCAGTCACTAATATGGCTGCAGCACTCTGAGACCCTCAGGTCCATTGTGATCATGTACGAAAAGAAAAAGATATGGAGAGATCTATAGGGGGATAGAGAGAGAGATGAGAAACTAACAAGGAAGTATGAGATAGTATCGATGTCTATAGAGATCCGACAGAATATATTTTACGTGCCAAGGTTGCAATGCCCCAATCACTTTAGGTTTCCAATGATGCTGCAGATTAGAGCAGGTTCCGTTGTTGAGAAGAAACTAAGACTCGGTGGAAAGTGAGCACCCACTAGTCTGTGCCCTACAGAGGGCACGCTCGATGAAAATTTCATTAAAAGATCGCCATATTCGCTCTATACATAACCTCACTCTGTCTACTGATATAGGTTAGGTTAGGGGATGTGCAGTCACTAATATGGCTGCAGCACTCTGAGACCCTCAGGTCCATTGTGATCATGTACGAAAAGAAAAAGATATGGATAGATCTTTGGGAGGATAGAGAGAGATGAGAAACTTACAAGGAAGTATGAGATAGTATCGATGTCTATAGAGATCCGACAGAATATATTTTACGTGCCAAGGTTGCAATGTCCCAATCACTTTAGGTTTCTAATGACGCTGCAGATTAGAGCAGGTTCCGTCGTTGAGAAGAAACTAAGACTCGGTGGAAAGTGAGCACCCACTAGTCTGTGCCCTCTGTAGGGCACAGACTAGTAGGACTGGAGATGCTTAATTATTTCTCTCTCTCCTCCTCGTCAACGCAGAGTATACATTAATCCAAATAGATCCTGACACATTGCACCTAGGTTCGTTGTACCAAAGTTCATAAGCTTTTCCGTCCAAGAACGCCTCAAAGTTCCGATAAAGATGACATGGGTGGTTTGATTAAGCCATCAATTGCTAATTCTGTAGATTGATATCCTCGTCTAGCTAATTCGTTTGCTTTTTCATTACCCATGATATCACGGTGTCTTGGTACCCAACACTGCCGATAGCTGTAAGTAAATTCTTCCACAACTGTTCTACACTTGAGGAGCCGCTTGACTATCCACAAAAATAGTAACCGGTTTAACGATCTCTGCATCCAGAGTTTTTATCAATTCCGCTGCCTTCCAAATCGCAAAGATTTCAGCTTGGAAAACACTACAGTTGCTATCCAGCTTGAAGGTAAACTCAAGGTCTAGCCTTTCACAGAAGACCCCTGTACTTTTTTTCATCTTGGATCCGTCTGTATAGAAAGCCAGCCCGTCCAGAGGAGAGTTACTCCGGTTCCAGTCGTCTCTACTAGGAATAACGACATCTACATCGTCAAATCTCAGGACTGGTGATATATAGTCGCTTAGTTTTACGCGTTGGTTCAATGTCATACCTGGTTCGTTCAAGATGCAATCATGCCCAAAGGTTCAACTTCGCCAAAGATTTTTCTAGAACACCAGTAGTTTTTCTTAAAGAAGAGTAGTAACTCTCTTTATAGAAGATCAGTATGTCTCCTAAGCCTTCGTTGAGCTCCCTGGATAAACATCCAAATATCGCATGATCAAAATGGGAGTACCGCAAGTCAGTGTCCATTGTGCTCCCCATTCCACCACCAGTTGTTTCAGTGGTGTCGTACACCAATGTCTGTTCGATTATATTGTCCGGTGTTAACATTAACAGGATTGCTACCCGATGTGTCAAGATGTCGAGCGTGGATCATCTTCACGAGGAGACAAGGATACTGTCAGTACAACAACATAACTTGTTGCTTGCCAGACAGTTCCTTCTGGCCTGACATCTGCCAAGTCACCTCAACCACCACATAGTAGTGCAGGATCCTCCTCCACGACACATCCGGAAGGACATCAGACACTTCCGCCCAAAATGAAGGACATCAGACACTACTATCCGACTACAAAAGATCGTCAATAGCTGCAGGTCTGAAACAGCTGCACACTCGAACGTTGAATCAAGCCGTCGACGGATATTGCCTAAACAAAGTCTTAACGAACATTTCTTATTTTCAGGAAGATACTTTTTTTGAATTTTTTTTTTTTTTAATTTTTATTTAATTAACACATTTTGTGCCCCTGGACTCATTTTTTAACACATTCTAGCCAATTACATTATTATTTTATTTACTTAAAATAAAAACTCAAAACACTAATCAAACAAATCCCGATTACCCGTTGCAGCAGCCGATGTATCCCAACCAATTGAACGTTCAACGGCCATTTTCCATTTATGATAACGCATATCCCGTTCGTTTTCCGATATTTTTGGTTTATGTTGGATACGTTCTTCGCCAGCCGATAGACCTTCTTCGATGTTAAAGGAGGGTTCGATGGCACGATAGGCTGCCAATGCCACACCCAAGGCTGTGGTTTCGGCAATTTTTGAACGTATTACATTAATGCCAACCAAATCGGATTGCAGTTGTAGGAACAGAGAATTAACAGTCATACCACCATCAACCATTAATTTGGCCAAAGGAATGCCGCAATCCTTTTTCATGGAATCTAAAATATCACGAACTTGGAAGCAAATAGATTCCAAGGTGGCACGAACAATATGTTCGCTGGTTGTTTCTTCGCTTAGACCGCAGATGACCCTAACAACAAAACAGAAGAAAAGACATTTAAAGTGAATTCGGAATATAAATAGTGGATGTCTCAAACTCACCCCCTAGCCTCTTGATTCCAATAGGGTGCATAGAGACCACTGAAAGCCGGTACAAAATACACATCCAATGAATTGTCTACCAATCGAGCCATAGCCTCCACCTGTCCTAGCGATTCAAATAATCCCAAATTATCACGTAACCATGTCAAAGCCACACCAGCAATGGCAACACTACCCTCCAGAGCGTAGGTGGGATTTGAATCTTTACCAAATTGATAACCGACCGTGGTGAGCAAACCATGCGATGAGGTTACAATAGCAGTACCGGTATTATAAAGCAGAAAACAGCCCGTACCATATGTAGCCTTCGCCTGTCCTCTATGCAAACACTGTTGACCCACCAAGGCAGCCTGTTGATCACCCAAACACGCCGTTATCGGTATACCCTTAAGATCGGTATCTTTTATCTGACCATAAACTTCAGAGCTGGATACAATTTTCGGTAAAATCGTATTTGGCAAACCGAAAAATTTCAATAGATGTGGATCCCATTGCAGAGTTTCAATGTTCATTAACATGGTACGCGAGGCATTTGTAACATCGGTTATGTGCAGGCCACCATTGGGGCCACCAGATAAATTGTAAATTAACCAGGAATCTAGAAAATAAAGAGATTAAATTTCCTATTAACCTTCTGGAAAGTTTTTCTCCCCTTACCAATGGTTCCGAACATAACATCGCCATGATCCATGGCCTTTTTAACAGCCGGTACATTGTCACGCAACCAGCGTAATTTTAGTGCCGAAAAATATGGTGACAACGGCAGACCACACAGCGGTTTGAGGTAGTTAATATTTTTGGAATTATTCGGTATCGACTCGATCAGGTCATCTACTGTGGTGGTAGTACGATTATCCAACCATATAATGGCGTTGTGTAGAGGCTCGCCTGTGTGACGATTCCATACAATAACCGATTCTCTTTGATTGGTCACACCTACGGCAACAATATCCTGCATGAAAAGGTAGAACGCAAAATAGATAAAATTATTACATTTCAATTATCTAATTGTACTATATAAATTCAGAAGTGAGGGCAAATAAAATACGGGGAGTTGCCAATCTCCTACTAGGCGCGTCTTCCCCGGGTGGGGGATGGGAAGGGGGTCTCCATGATGTGTAGAGTGAAACTATCCTAGGTCATGTAGGTCTCTGCACTTCGTGGAAATCCTGGGGATTTTCGGATCTCCCGTGAACCAAAATGAATCGAGGTAGTGCCCTTAAATTAATTAACTACGATGGTTAAAAAGAGCAAAAATAAAAAAGTTGCGGTGCAGGGAGTTAATAACCCAGTACCGGCGACAATCGTTGGTGAGGTCACAAGCCACGTGTCAAGCGATTGTGATCCGGCTGTTCTAGGTGTGGATGCCTTGGCACCTGCAGCTGTATCTGTTAGTGCATAATTTTCGAATCCGAACGTTGACGAACCGGCAATTCTATTGGCAAACGAGTAGGTCAGGACTGATGAAAATCAATCTCTGACTTACAGGACTGGTTTAGATGTTATTGCCATTGATTTGCAAAATGTCAAAATTGAAAATTCTAATTTAATAGTATTATCGATATATAGACCACAGCGTTGCAATTTAAGAAGATTTTTATATAAATTGGAAAACATTATGGAGAGACTGCGTGTTGGCCCGATGATAGTGGTGGGTGATTTAAACGTAGATCTACATAGCAGATTACGTAACAAACAAGTTTTAAATGTATTTAATGAATACAATATGAAGCCGTGTCATGATCTTGTTACTAGGCCTTTGAGCAAGTCTTCTATTGACTGGGTTGTAAGTAATTTCCCTCAAAATATTTCAGTACATAGCATTGAAAATAATATATCGGACCACAATATACTTAGCTGTTGTTTGGATATTTCAGTATGTCCACATGATTTTATAACACAAAAAGTTGTTAAGACGGATTATGTCAAACTATCATCAATTTTAAATACAGAATTAACGGGTTTAAGTCATGAAATTAATTCATCTGATTTATGTGACCGATTTATTGAAACTTTGACGACGGCAACATTGCATTGTACAACAGTAGAACATAAATCTGTAAATATTCGTTCAATGATCTCACCCTGGATTACAGAGAATTTATCCGCTCTCATGAATTTTAAAAATAAACTGTTATGTAGGAGACGTAAAGCTCGTAATAAAACCCAACTAACAGATCTACTGAAACGAATTAGTAAAATAATTAAAAACTGTAATAGAATTTTGATTAACAATTACTATAAGTATCATTTGAATGCTTACAAAGGTGACGTAAAAAAAACATGGCAATTTATAAATAAAACCGTCGGTCGGTCAAACAACAGAAAGTTTGATGTATTATTGGAAGACGGAAGACTTTTGTCTACGGATAATGCAAAAGCCACTGCTTTAAATGAATTTTTTATTGACTCAGTAAAACAATCAAGAGTCAATTTAGAACAATATTCCAATGATGATATAAATTTTTTTCAACCCTCATACCTGAGCCGACTTATTTTTCCTTACAACCTGTGGATGTATTAAAAGTTTCAAACATTTTACAATCATTGAATGTAAGGAAATGTTGTGGATTTGACAAAATAACACCAAAAATATTACTTCTTAGCAAAAATAATGTTGCTAGTTTAATTGTTAAAATTTTTAATACAATGATTATTGAAGGAAAATACCCAAATAGCCTTAAAATTCACAAAATTCTGCCGATTCCTAAGAAGCTGAACTCCAAAAGTTTAACAGATTTTAGACCAGTAGATAAAATTTCTACCGTAGATAAAATTTTCGAAAAAATAATTTATGAACAACTTTCTACGTATGTTGTTGATAATAAAATACTCTTCGATAGACAGTTCGGTTTTAAAAAGGGCTCAGGGACGGAGGAAGCTGTTATAAATGTGGTTGAACATATATGTGACAAAATTGACGCTGGGGCAAAAGGTGTTGCAGGTGTTTTCTTTGATTTATCCAAAGCTTTCGACTTGGTGGATCACAACATCTTGATTAAGAAACTAAAGAATATTGGTTTATCCAATATGTCGTTAGAGCTTTTTTCTGATTTCTTGCGCAACAGACGCCAATATGTTGAAATTGGTGATGCAAATAGCAATTCTTTGCCTGTTAATTGTGGGGTTCCCCAAGGTAGTGTGTTAGGCCCTCTTTTATTTAAAATATATATTAACGATCTGAAACATTTAAAATTTTATGGCAAATTATTCATTTTTGCTGATGACATATGTTTGTTGTACGGATATAAGTATGAGCGCGTCTTACAAACTCAAGCGGAGTACGATTCTGCTATTTTATCTGAATTTGCTAGGATTAACAAGTTAATTATAAATCCGAATAAGACCAAATTCATTAGGTTTCAACCTCATATGAGCAGGTCTAATCATGAAATGGCTATTCATGTGGAAGGAACACGAATTGTTGAATCACCTAGTGTAAAATATTTGGGTATAACGTTAAGCAATAATTTACAATGGGACCTGCATATCAACCACATACAAAATAAAGTGTCTGCTGCTACAGGAATATTGTATAAATTCAAATCCAAATTTGACACAGAAACCAAAGCATTAATATATCAAACGCTTGTTCATTCCCATTTGACATATCTTCCCATTATATATGGATTTAAATTCAGCAGCTCGTTAAAAATTCTGCAGAGAGCTCAAAATAAAGCCCTAAAAATTGTTTACAACCTACCACGTAGATTCCCAACACTAGAACTTTACAAATACAAAGCAGTAAATGTTTTACCTTTACGAGGATTATATAAACATCAGATTTTAATGCCAATGTTTAAAAATTTAAAAGGCATAGGTCTTTCGTCAATATCTTTCAGACAAAATAGAGAAATTACTGGTAGAAACACTAGGCATGCATCAGACCTGGAAGTAGCTAGATGTCGAGTTGAAGTAACAAAACAAAGAATAAAATACGCTGGACCAATGGAATATAATCAATTATCAGACGATTTGAAAAACATTCTACAAATATCGATATTTAAAAAACGCATTAAAGCTTATCTTTTGCAGAATATTGAAAATCTTTTGTACAATTAATTTAATATTAACTATAATAAGAATTAGAATATCATAAATTGTATAGTTGCCATTAGCCTCTACTTTGCCAAATATGGCGCGGAGGCATTAAATTAATTATAATTGAATAATAAAGAAAAAATGAATACAAAAAAAAAAAAAAAAAAAAAAGTTCTGAAAGGGACTACCTACACGGGACTCTAAATGCTATCCGCGATAGTTTAGAGTAGCAAAGCAAATAAATCTTTGACCAGACAGACTCAGATCGGAAGAGCAATGTGGGGATACGTTTCCGAAGGAGCTGCTACTGAATCTCACCCTAACTGATGAAGAGCTAGACACCACGGTGATCCTAGCCAAGTCTACACAGGGCGAATATTGTAGCATAAACGAAGGAAGCGCAGACCCTGTCAAGTCTGACTCCAACAGGTCCTTTGTCGGCACTTGCCGACAATAAACTTCAGAGGCAATCTGCGACGGAGGCGATGTGCGACGATGGGGAGTCTGTCGAGAACCCAGCAGCGGACAGATGCTCAAATGTTGGGAAGGCCGGAGAAGTAGCTGATGCGAAAAACTACAAACGTACTGTTTCGTATCTCCGCAAATTCGTGGGACGAGACGCGAATTTGATTTCGAAGAAGGAGGTTCACCTCATCAAGGGCAAGATGAGATTCGTAAGGAAGTTCGAAAGAATCTATCCGCACGCTCTGCATCGTGAACTCCAGATGTCCTGTCCATCCCTCCCGAATCCTACTGCTCCAATAAAAGTAGTGGAATTGGCGAAGCCCACTGTAGGGTTAGTGCGACGAAACTCATCACGCACATTTGCTAAACCCGCTGCCTCTGATGGGAAGTTTGGTCTCAATTCGCGTATACGACCCACAGGTAGCATCTTTCTGTTACCAGGAAGTATCTTTCTGCTAACAGAGCGTCAGCAGGATTGGGTAGTTCTTTGAAGCGACGATTTGTGAAATTTCTGAACTCTTGCCAATTGGTTTTGCCATGTATAAAGAAATTGGGGGTGGTCTATTGATAGATATGACCCCACGGAAATAGATATTGACAGTTTACCTTATCCTTGTACCTCTGATCATAACCTATTGCACCATAATTCATGGTGGGCATTGAAATCCTATATCACCAGACGGTTATTGTCTTCCAAATAATGACTAATGTCTGGCAAGTAACGCGGGACACAACTATTTAACTGCGGAATGTATATGTTAAGCACCTCTGCCTCGTCGGTATCACACTTGACCGCTACTTTCATACATTCCACGTCACTAGAGTCCATCTCATACAACCGTGTACTTTTTTGTCTTTCACATGTGTCATTTATAATGGCGCCCAACTTATTCACTCCTCTTCTAATATGTGTGAAAATAAGTGTAATGCTGCTCTGGTCCTATACATTTTACGGAATACATGCAGATGTCTATGGTAGGTGTATCGCCTCAAGTGTATTGCCTACATGTTACCTTGGCAGAAAAGTTGAGGGCTAATGTAAAATACTCAACTTCGCGTTCCTACAACTACTACAATATCAAAATAACTTGCCTTGAAGTGTTCGAATTCTTTCTTCTGGAAAATCCGTTAAGATCGGCCATAACAAGTGTTATTACATCCTCCCGAACAAACTTATTGTTTATTTATTTCCATTGTGAAAACGTAAACAACGTCCAAATATTTGGCATTCGATTTAAGACAAACATCTGACTTTCGTATGCAGGTTGATCTTATCAATAGATCTTGGTACCAACAGTTTCCTTTCCTTGCAGTACCATAAGCACTCCTAACATAATCTCATTACAAGTCTCCATGTCATCAAACTGACATTGAAAAATGAAATGTCCCACCCCAAAAACATGGCAACCCTGTCATATGATAACACTGGAAATAAATATAGACGGCAAAATATAAAAGAAGAAAACAATTAGAAATAAAAAGAAGAACAAAAAGACCACATATATAGATAACAACCTAAGCAGGTTGCAACAAAAATACACAAATTGAACGGGGAGAGGACAGTCGGTCGGTCGGTTGGTTGGTCATAAACTACGCTAATAAATTCCCTTCATCATCATCAATGTTAGTACAACGTTATTCAATCGACTCGTTAACCAGAGTTATTCCGAACTACAAATTGTTAACAACAAATCTACTGAGATTACGAAAAATGTCTACTGCTACGACACCCCCACTGAATGCAGCAGCTGATGATGGGTCCACCACAAAGTCCATTATAGCCATAACACAAATGCGCAGCACCAGTGACAAGGGAGAAAATATACGACAAGTCGAGAAGCTGCTGCAGGAGGCAAAGAAGCAATGTGCCTCCTTTGTGTTCTTGCCGGAATGTTGTGATTTTGTGGGTGAGAATCGTAATCAAACACTGGAACTGGCGGAGCCGTTGACAGGTCCCACTCTCACAAAATATCAAAGTTTGGCCAAGGAATATGATGTGTGGCTATCGCTGGGTGGCATCCATGAATCTGTTTTGGATGAATACGAGAGGAAAACGGATAAAATTTATAATGCCCATGTTGTGGTCAACAACAAGGGCGAATTGGTGAACATCTATCGTAAACTACATTTGTTTGATGTTGAAACTCCCGAATATACATTTAGAGAATCGAAGGTGGTGAAGCCAGGGCCAAGGCTAATACCACCGGTGGAGACACCAATCGGAAAGGTGGGTCTGCAAATATGTTATGATATGCGTTTTGCGGAGAGTAGTTTGTTGCTGCGTAAACAAGGTGCTGAGATTCTCACCTACCCCTCGGCCTTTTCATATCCCACTGGTAAGGCCCATTGGGAGATACTGCTAAGGGCTCGGGCAATTGAGAATCAATGTTTTGTCTTGGCTCCCGCTCAAATTGGTTATCACAATGAGAAGCGGCGTAGTTGGGGCCATGCCATGGCCGTAAATCCATGGGGTAAAGTGCTGGCCGATTTGGGAGATAAAGATGATCTCAAAGTGGGTATTGTGGAAATTGATTTGTCAGCAATGGAGCCCATACGTGCCTCAATGCCTTGCTTCAATCATCGAAGAGATGATGTGTATAGCTTAACAGCTTATGGTAGTGGCAGCACAGAACCTCTCGAGGATCGCAAATTTGCCAAGAATATTATCAACAAGGATACCATCTTTTTTGAGAGTCCTTATTGTTTTGCATTTACCAATCTCTGTTGTGTGGTAGAGGGTCATGTTTTGGTGTCCACCAAACGTTCAGTACCCCGTCTAAATGCCCTTAACTCCGCGGAAATGAGTGATCTCTTTAATACCGTGTGCCGTGTACAGAGGATGTTGGAATCGATTTATCATACGACAGCAGCTACTGTAACTGTGCAGGATGGTGCCGATGCTGGCCAGACTGTACCACATGTACATTTTCATGTTATGCCACGCCGACCAGGAGATTTTCGCCACAACGATCAGATCTATGTGAAATTGGAGGATCAAGTTGAAAATAAGACGCCGCGCTCAATGGAAGAACGCATCGAGGAGGCCCGAAAATACCGAAATGTTATGAAATCATTGAAGTTGTAGTAGTGCAAATGACGGTGGTGCCATAATATTAGACGATAATAAAAACGATACAATACGACGATAAAAATTAGCTAGAATTTGAAGCCATAAAATAAAGGAAAATTGTTGTTTTATTTTAAATATAGACATAGGACTGGGATTGATCTGAAATTTACAGCACAGTTAAGTCTTGGTATGCTGACTACGTCAGTATATATATTATGTGGGAGAAGTCCATACTTCCTGAGATACATTCCATATTTCCCATCCCATTTTTATTTGGCATATATTTCAACAAAAATCACATTTCAAAATCACTATTTCTGATCGATTCTAATCCTGCTCCTATATTCAATTTGTTCCCCAACTTACCTTAACACTACCTCCCAACTTTTCCAACTTCGTGCAGGCCTCATCAATACAGGTCTTGACAATATCATAGATCAACACCGGATCCTGTTCCACCCAGCCTTCTTGGGGATAAATGGAGGGAACTTCTACCTGATGATAACACACAACTTCATCTGTACCCGCCTTGAAGATGATAAAACGGGCTGATGACGTGCCCTCATCGATGGCTCCGACATATTTCACTTTATCAGTCATTTTTTTCACTTGCAATTATTTTAAAATAGATCTGAAACTAGAATATTTTCACCAATCCACGATATTCTATCGCCGTTTTTTCCGTCTTTCTATTATCACTTGGAACTTTGACCAGCGCGCTCACCCCGCCACGGCAAATAAAGCTTTTTTCTTGGGGTAATTTGTTGTGTTATGCACGACGATATTAAACAAATTAAACAGCGTATTTTTTGTATTAACAACTTATCGGCTCCTCCGCTTGTGTGTTGCCTTTACGATTATTTGTTGTGGCTGTTCTTGTTGTTGTTTTTGGAGGCCACACAGTAATCAAGACCTAATTGATAGTAGGTGCGTTGTCGGTTTCTTCTAACAGCAGGAGAGGGAACGGGCTTTCATTATCTCCTTTTAAACATATCGCTCGCAATTAAACAAAAATATTTATTGGCCAATTGTGTTTTCGTTTACTTTTCGTTTTCCTATTTTTGTTCAAAACAATAACCAGATGAGGAGAGAAGAATAACCAATAACGATGAAAAGCAAAGCAGAACCAGTTTTGTTACGAATGAATTATAAAAGCAATGTAGAGATTAGGATTTACAACAGATGTTTAACAAATCAGCTGTTTGTAGAAATATCTGACGTTGTGGCATTTTGTTATTCAATTAGGGTTGCCAATGTTGTTATATATTTATTGGACGTTAATATAAAAGCCGAATCCGCTGAGCCACACATAATATTCATTTAGTGGAATGAAAGTTTTCTTTTGTTTTACCGGAAACATGGTGCTGCCCTAATTTAAGACTATTTGGGTTGAAAGAAAATTGCGAAAATTAATGAAGTGGACAAAACACCCAATATAAGAGAATTGGTAGTTATGTTTCAAGGTCCTAGGCACTCCTAGGCACCTCGTGCCCATCAGTGTTCTACGACTTGCAGTCAGGCGAATCACTAAACGAGTCAACTTCAAAGAAATCTCAGACAAGAAGATTTACAGGAGAGCGTTTAATTAATGCAACCGCTTTATCAGACGGGACAGAGACTCGATATCGGACAGGGAGTTCCTTCTAATTAAGAGGAATCTCAAATACATCCGGATGTTCTACAGAAACTATCCGAATGATATTGCGAGGGACTTCTTAATTGATAGAATTCCTACATCACGTGCAAAATCTACCACGGTAGCCCCTTCAAAAGAGGAGGAAACTGTGAGTGGCCGAGCACAATTGGGACGATGGTGGCTAGGATCTCTAAGCATTCAGCTCATCCCAAAGGAAACGTGAGCGCTGAGAAATCCCTGGTACCATCAACCACAGCAACTGTCGAAGTCAGCCTAGCGGAGAGCCTGTGAAAAGGCATCCAGAAAAGCTGATAAGGCACAACATTAGTCTGTAAATCCGCCCATTGCCGAAATATAGAAACCGAAATCCAAGGTGATGAAAATTTGGCAATTGTTGGTGGATAAACCAAAGGTGGCGAACAAGAAGCAGGCGCTCGTGTCAGCTGGGTGAACCTCTGCGGCTGTTGCAACTCCGGGAGCCAAAACTCGAACACAGCCGACGGCTGTGAAGAGAATGAGGTCCTCTGATGATCAATAACTTGCTGCTAAGACTGTAACTGTCGTATTAAGGGGTCTGCGAACCTCTCTAAGAAGACAGTTAACACCTGTGACCATGTTTGGAATGGTAGTAAAGTAGCAGACGTTGCGGTGCACAAGATACCCAGCGGGATCGTGTTCTCAGTATGGATCCCACCTCTCTTTTAAGAGACTGAAGAATAAACTGAGGTTGTTGGAAAAGCAGTACGACGGACTTCAGATGAGTATGTGGAGACAATGAGCAGCACTGGTGGTGGCATAATCATTGGATATGATGCCATTGTACATCACTTCCAATCCCTTGCTCGCATAGATCTCGGAACGATTGAGGACGTGGAGAAAACTGTGAACAGTGTCACATGGACTCTTGCGGAGCTATAAGGATGCAGGATTTCAGAAAATCTGATTCACTCCAGTAGATGAACGAATTGCTATAATCCGTATAAAAGCGAAATTCTTCTTTATCAGTCTTATTTGTGAGAAAATCCAGATGTATAGGAGTCAGAACGAAGTCCGGAAATTTAACCAATGAATAAAAAACCAAACCGAAGGCTTTGGTGGAGGCACATCCTTCTGTAGAAATGAAAAAGGAAACCTGGTGACAGATACAGACAACGTGTTGAGGATCGGCAAGGAGCATTTTGAAAAGCTTCTGGTATCAAATAGTGGCGGTGAAGAAGATTCCCAGACCCAATAAGAGATGACGGTATAGATGTATACCAACTAGCCAAGATGAGGTCAGAATAGCAATTAATCGGGTGAAGAATAATTAAGTAGCAAAAGGCGACGGATTACCAGGCGAACTATTCAAGGAAAATTGGCTGGAAAAATGCATGCCCAATGATTGGAACCCCAGCATCCTTTGTCCCGTGCACAAAAAAAAGAGGCAGACTGCAGAGGAATTCGTATCCTTCCCATCGCCCCTAAAGTGCTATCCAGCGTGCTGTTTGAACGACAGAAGCCAATGGTCAATGATATTATTGGAACATAGCAATGTGCCATCAGAACTAGCAAATCCACCATTGACCAGATTTTCACTCTGCACCAGATCCTAGAAAATACCGACAAAAAACACATCGACACATTTAATCTATTCGTCGACTGTAATAAACCCGCTCAGAGGTGTTTTAAGACATGTCTGCGTTCGGAATTCCTGTAAAATTAATACAGATATGCAGGAAAACTTTAAGTGAAGCAGCTCTTGGAGTGTTTGAGAGAACTATTCTCCGAAAGATCTATAGACCGATCTGCGTCGACGGTGAATATCGCCGTCGAATGAAGCATGAGTTTTACCATCTATTCTCGTATATCGACATTGTATTGAGTTGCAGCGATTACGTTGGCTAGGTCGTGTTGCGAGAATGGATGAAGATGGCCCAGCTCAAAAGGCATATAAAAGCGAGCCAACATATGGTTCACGTAGAAGTGGAAGCCACAAATTCGATGGAAAGATCAAGTGGAAGACAACATATCAGAAAATGATATTTCAAATTGGAAGAGCTGCGCACAAGACCGACGCTCCAAGAAGACTTTTTTAAGCTCGGTTCATGGAACAAATGTTCTGTCGCAAGCCAGTACTCGAGCACTCTTCTCCGGAATAGACCCCAAAAAGATCTTTAGCTCATGACTACGTCAATTAACAATTCTATACTCTACTAACTTCTACCCTTCCCTTTTTCCATTCCTTCTTATTTCAGATACCGAGGGCGAGCACAATGAACAAAATGTCTCCGAGTGATACGGCTGCTAGGTTCACAAGAAAAAAAAAATGAAGTTAGTATTTTTGATTTTCTTTTTTTGTTTATTTTGTATCTTTTTTCATATATACAACGAGAATTATTATTTAGTTTTTGTTTTTCGCATTTGCGTTTGTTTATAAAAATAAAGAGATAATAAAATATGAACAACAACTAAGTTATATTAGAATTTATTTTGAAATTTTTTATTAATTTCAAAATGGATTTTTCTTTTTTTTTCATTATATAAAATTAAGTTTAGATTAGAGAAAATTGTTTTATATATGCTTAAAATATAAAATTAAAAATGTTAAACATATTTTCTGGTTTTTTATTAAATTATTAATATATTTATGTTTGCAGTTTTTTGTTATGTATATTTTTTGTATTGCTTAATTATCTTTTGATATTATTTTAGGTGTTTTAATTTTTAGTAAAAATTAAAATCATATTGTGTATGTGTGTGTGTTTTTTTTTTAATTTTTCTTTGTTATCGATAACTAAAAATTTACTAAATTCATAATTTATTAGCGCAGAGGATAATGATGTAGTATTAAAACTAAAAAAAGTTTTTGGGTATTATTTTTTTCGAAAAATAAAATAATAATAAAATCAAAATTACAATAAAAAAAATTACAAATTATCATAATAAACGACCATTTATGTATATATATTTGTTTTAATTAATAATATAATTTTCCGAGTAACGTGTTTTGTTTTTTTTTCTACATAAATATGATTTTAAAGTTGATGATGATTGTGGTGACGACGACAACAACAATAAAGTTTTAATTAATTTTAGAATATGAAAAGAAAATAAGGAAGAAAAAAAAAATACAACAGAACGAACATATTTATAAAAAAAGAAGTGTAGATAGTAATATTACAAATTTTTATATTTATTATTTATAATTATAGAATTGCTTTTTGTTATAAATAAATTGTGACCATTTTTATATGTATAGTATACATATATGAAATTTCTTTGGATGTTGAAAAGCAAAATTGAAGTTATATTATCCTTTAACCTATTACGCCCGCATGGTATTAATTTTAATTTAATTGAAAATGTTTTTCTTGAGTTTCTCTAAGGCATATACATATTATATATATATTTCAATTATTGTTATAATTAATTTGTATATTATGACAATATTTTTCCTTGTATTATTTTTTTAAGAATTTATATTTTTTTGTTATACATATTTTTAAAAAAAATTTATAGTTAAAAAGGCACTATTTCTTTTATATTAAGGCTGTATATTTTTGTTAACTTTTGTTGATTGTGAGTTTGGTATAAATAGAATTTTGATAATTGAATTTGACTCAGGTAGTAATATTTTTTATCAATTTTCATTGCTGTATACTGCTGGGGAAGGCGATACAACAAAAACAACCATATATTGCCTAGATTCCAATTTATAGAAATTATTTGAGAATAAAATATGTGAATGTGATTGAAATGATAAATATAATATCAGAATAGAAAAAAGGACATAATTTTTAGGCAAATCACAAATAAACGTTTAAAAACAAACTACTGCAATTTAGATTACAAAGTTAGATTGCATAGTGTCGGCATTAGCGAATATTTGGGGTTATAATTATATGAGGGCTATGCCTAATTAATGACCGACATACATATGTCAATTTCGAACCCAATATTTTTGTTTTGTGTTTCAATTATTTCC